AATATTTTTATCCCAAATCCTACTGAATAAGAAACACTACACCCCTTCTAGTCTTTTTTATTTATTTTTTTTGTCTTTTTGAGACAGGATCTCCCTGTAGCCCCAGCTAGCCTGGAATTCACTATGGAGACCAGGCTGGCCTCAAACCCACAGAGATCCTCCTGCCTCTGCCTCCCAAGTGCTGGGATTAAAGGCGTGTGCCACCATGCCTGGCTCTACATCCTATGTACAAACACCCCCACACACATACAAAAATATAAATAAGGAGTCTCTAACATTGTATAGGCAATGGGGAGGGTGGGGAAGGCAGGGAGGGATAAGGAAAGAAGGAAATTCTAAAATCTATCTGCAACTGGGAATCATATGCACCAAAATTGAAATATTCCTGGAAAACTAGCTTCTAACAGCCATTGCCAGAGACATACAATTCAATTAGAGAAGTATTCTAGAATATCTATACCTAGCATTACACAGACCAAATATGGTCTTGCTCTCAAGTTACTCACACTTTTGAACAGAAAACAAGATTTGTACACTTAAAAAATAGAACAACATGCCAGGCAGGTATAGTAGTGCACATCTTAAATTCTGGCACTTGGGAAGCACAGGCAAGATCTTGGTGAGTTCAAGACCAGCCTAGTTTACATAACAAGTTCCAAGCCAACCAGGGCTACACAGGGAGACCCTCTTTAAAAAAAAAAAAAACAAAGACTATCCTCAGGCCTCTTGGGGTAAGTCTATAGCTCAGCTCTCCGCGCCGGGACTCCCTAAGCCACATTCACCCTTCCATCCCCCCCCCCCTCGCCCGTCGCCGTTCTATACTCTTAGTTTGGGCCCTGCGCCATTCCTAGCCTTGGGGCCCCAGACACCTGGGGTACCAATACTGCTTCCTGACCCTTCTCACCCAGAGCAACTCAGTCCCTTTCTTGGGCTCCAGGAGCACCACTTCTGGTCCTGGCCCCGCCCTCACCTCTCTCTGCTACCCTGGGCCTGCACCACCGGCTAACTCTCCTAGCCTGCACTTCTATCCTCAGGCCTCTTGGGGATAGCGCAGCTCTCCGCGCCGGGACTCCCTAAGCCACATTCACGCTTCCATGCCCCCCCCCCCGCCTTTCTATACTCCTAGTTGGGGCCCTGCGCCATTCCTAGTCTCGGGGCCCCAGACACCTGGGGAACCAATACTGCTTCCTGTCCCTTCTCACCCAGACCAACTCAGTGCCTTTCTTGGGCACCAGGAGCACAGCTTCTGGTCTCGGCCCCGCCCTCACCTCCCTCTACTTCCCTGGTCCTGGAAAACACGCCAGCCTGTTTCTGGGGCGGACAGCCTCTTTCTGGGGCTCCGAGGCTTACCTTTCCTCTCCCTGATCCTTTGCATCCAGTACAACCCAGCTACTCAATCCACTCCCTGGAAAATCTTGGGGCTTCTTCCCGCCTCATCTGCCTTTGCATCCCTGCATGGCGTGGCAATGGCCAGGGTCTCAGGTCAGTCCAACACCCAAGTTCCTGAGGCCAAAAGCATTCTTAGAAGATTCCAGACCTAAGGAGAAAGTCTGAAAACTTCTGATCCACATTGGAATTGGGCCACCGCGGAACTCCTGAAGACAAAATCAGTCCAGCCACAACAATA